CATGAGTGAGTGGCCACAATTAGCTGCAAGAGCCTGCAGCCTCCCTGTGTTTGCAATGGCTTACAGCTAATCAAGGGAACCCATGCTGGGGATCTCACATCTACATGGAGGAAGGGTACACTTGCAGGTGTGAATTCACCCTTATACCTGACAGTAGAATTCAGTATTCATAAAGTGTCTCTATGTTAAACAAGTAACGCACAAGAACAATAGAGCATACTTGTGCAAGAAAAAATAGTTCACGTTTCTACCTTACACAACAGGTGACCTATGGCAGAGTATATCAATATGGGATCACATTAAGTTGTGGTACTTTCAAAAAAGGAAAAATGTTGGAGTTTCTGTGAATTTAGGCATTTTAAGTTCAGAACACAACTAATACCGATATTGGGTTTTGGTTCCATTAACAGTTAAATAGAATCTTCCAAACCTGTCTTGCACAGGAACTGGAATGACCACTCCTTGGGACAAAAGAAGGTTCAGGGCAGTCTGCAAATATGACTGTCTTTGGGGAGATTTTGGATGATTTGAGAGAAGAAATTGGAAAGGGGGTAGAGTTTTGAACTCTATTTTGTACTCTTTTGAAACCACAGATCTCTTCTGAACCCATTGATCTAGGACATCTGTGACCCAGAGGAGTGCAAACTGCAGCAGATGTCTTCCCAATCTTAAGAGTGCGGGTGCCCCTTCACTGTTAAGATGGCTTTAGGGTAGGCCTGGTGAACTTTTTGTTCCAAGTCTTGCGGCAAAAGAAAGGACAGAATTTTAACTTTAAAGATGAAGCCAGGGGAGAGTAAAGGGGTGCTCTTTATTTAGAGGAGATAGCATCCTCCAAGGAGGAGGGTTTGAAGCCTTTCATTTTGGAAAAAGGACTTTTCCTCCTGTGACCTTTTTTATGAATTTGTCAGGTGCATCATCAGAGACATGGCCTCCTTCAAAAGCCATACGAGTGAGGATTCAGCTGTTCTGACTCTTAGCCATAAGATTCTGCACATATTGACAGAAATGACAGCCATTCTGGAAATTTGTGTTATGACATTGTTCTAGGACATCAACACAGAAAAGTATGGAAGTCTGGACCTGCAAGAGTAAAGAGAACCTTTAAAGCATCTCAAATTTTCTGCCTGAAGAATCCTTAAATGAAAAAACATCTATAGAATAGAAAGTCTTTTGAGGAGTACCCCAATCATCATAAATTGACTATTTTCTCTAGAATGGGGAATGTCTTTTTAGACTTTGCAGGTCTCTTAATAACTAGAGAGGCATGGAGAGACAGAGGAGACTATGACAAGGTTTTTGTGTGCAGCAGAAGTGAGCATGTCTATATACCATAATCATATGCCATAGTGTCAGGTATATAAGAGCCTGTGGATGAGAAATCTTCCATATCCTTCTCTAGCACCATCTCTGGGTCCTCTTCATTCTCCTCTGTTTCTACCCTTTCTATAGCAGGTATATTCAATTCTGACTCGGGTAGGGTAGGCGAGAATGGAGAGTAAGCCTGGAACATTTGAACTGTGGACAGTGATGGCTGTATTAAGACTGTTATTTTTCCAAGAAAGTCTGAAATAGTCATAGGGTTCAGAAATGGGGTAAGTGTGTCCATAGAAGGATACACAGCAACCCAGGTGTTGACTGGCCAGTACCAAATTCCTTGTGGAAGAAGGGTGGGTGGATGTTCCTTAGTAGCACCTATAACCCTGGGTCTATGAATATAAAACCTATGTCCTGCACTGTATTATTAAAGTAGTTGAAAAACTCTGACATGAAATGTGAATAAAGCATATCCCTCTATAGTGTGTATTTGTCTCAATCCAGAGAACTAAGTGTCATTTCTGCCTGCTTCCTTGTTTCTCTGCTATCTGCATGAGTAACTTCTGACAGGTTTTCCTGACACACAAAAGTAACAGGGGAGGGGGCTCCAGCACACAGCTTGTGAATGACAGCCTCAGCTCCATTCCTGTGTGTCATATGAAGGGGTGTGTCCCTTCCCTCCAATCTGCTCTCACTGAGCTCTGCACAATGTAACTTCTGCTCTTCACCCCCTGCTTTCTGAAAGCTATGACAAGCTGTATTGATTCTGCACTTTGAACAGCTGTAGAGAAAGGAGGGATGTAGATAAATGAGTACAAACTATGTAGGAGAATTTGTTTAATCTCTGTGTATCACCTGAGGGCAGTCACTTCACTGGACATAATGTATGTGAGGGTTTACACCACTTTAAAATAGTAGCTTTCAGACACATTCTTTCTCCTTAGACCTTCAGTCTGAGCTGTCTGGTAGTCAACTAATTACTCCACTGACTAATCTACTTGTGTGTATAAATTTTATATTGAGCAGACAGCACATTGAGTGTTATCAGCCGCATGGACAAAAGTCAATATCATTTATACACTTGTAATACTTCATATTTACTTGACTAAAACATATTTTTGATATTTTAGTCCTGTGCACATAAAGAAAACACAAATCTACCATATATACCCTTTAGGAACTCTTCACTAAAAATTACCCTTGACCTTTCTAAACCATTAAACTGTTATGGTAATCAAACAACATAAAACAGGTATCCAAAAGATAACCAAAAAGCAAAAAAATGTCTTAAGCTAGAACAGGACAGTTTTAATCAGTGGAATTTATGGCTTTTGCTATTAGTTTAGCCTTTTAAAGTTGCTGCTAAAATATAAGGAAATATTTTGAGAGGTCATTCATCATGCACTAGATTAATTGCAAAATCTTGGACATTTTTTGCTCTGACTTTACATTGCGTGTGTAGCCTTCAGTTTGTTTTGTAAGTGGCAGTGTTCGATTTCTGCAAAAGTCTCATCACTACAGATTTAGCCATCTCTACAGTTATGGCAAAGAAAGATGTCAATTCACACTTTCAAAATGGTCCGGTTACCATAAAGGAATATTTTGTAAAAGAGATAAAAATGATTTTTTTTTTCAAGATCCCTTATTAAGCTAAAAGAAACACTACTTGAAAAGAAAAAAAAAACGTTAAAAATGTCCAATAGCCTTCATTATCCTTTCATTTTCAACAAAACAGGGCATAGGCCATGGAAGATGAGTTGTAAGACCACAATGGCTTTATAAAAGTAACATTTTAAGCATTCAGTTGGTTTTAGGCTTTCAAATAGAATCCTTTATAGTGTTCCTTACTGTCATTCAATATCACCATGCTGTATTTATTAAAAGGCACTAATGGACTTGTTTAAAGTGCAGACAAAAAAAAAGCTGAAATGTACAGTTTGATATTGCATTTTTTTTTATTTTGGTAATCTAAACACCATTTGAGAGTTAAAGTGGTACTAAAGACAAAATAAAAAATGACGTTCATGACACAACTGTCACTAGCATTAAGGCTCTGTTCACACTGGCATTGAAAGCAGGAGTTTAAGGCACGTTTTTAACACTCCTCAAACTCCTATGCTAATATGGACAGCACACAGTGCTGTTTGCATTATCAAAACACAAAGTTTTAGCGTCATGTTGCTTTGCTTCAAAATTTAAGCTTCATGTGGAGTTTGGAAGGAGTTGAAGCATCTCAACTGCTTCTGTTCACCATAAATGTCCCTACACATGTTTGTAGCATGTTTGCAGCACATTAGGCCTTGTTCCCAACAGCCCAAAAAAATAGGCATCCTGGATGTGTTCTTTACGCATCTTTAACGTGCGTCAGATGCACATAAGGTGTTTGGGGAGCGTTTTCTTTCTTTTTTTTTGTATAATCTATGTTTATTAAACAATTAAAAATACAGTGGAAAAAGAAGAAGCAGAACCATACGAGAGTGGCAGGCCATTGCATTCACAATGGCAAGGAGATATTCAGCCACTGAGTGTCAGTATTACAGGCTGAACTGCTGTAATACTGACACTCAGTGGCTGAATATCTCCTTGCCATGGGAACTCTGCCATACTGAATTCTCTATCTGCTCAACCCAGCTCTGATGAAGAAGGGAGCACCCTTCGAAACACGTTAGCCTTCATCCCCCCCCCCCCTTTTGGATTTACCTGTAACCCTGTTTGGATTATGGTTACTTATGCCTGTTATACCATCACTTTGTGAGTACATTTCCTTAATAATAAAATTAGTCACTATTTATTGAGGTAATGCGCAAGGTTTGTGCGCTCTTTCTTTCATCTTCTTCTACAGTTTTATGAAGCTTCCCCAGCTTCATGATAGAGCTGCACAGCCTCTGATCACCAGCGGATGAACACACAACACGCTGCTTGTTACTAACGCCTGTTTGATCTGAGTCTTTGAGCGCAGGAGATAATGGATTTTTGGTGACTCTTATCATAATGCCAGAGTTCAGTATAATAATGCCCAAATGGGGAGTGTTTTGAACACATGTTAAACGTGCATCAAAATCAACGAACAGCTCGCATTAACGCTAGTGGCGTGTTTCTTAAGTGTGAACAATGCCTAACACAGCTCTCATTTTTCTTAGTAACTTAACTTAAACTAGCCATACACTAATCAAAGTTTGGCTGGTTCAGCAGCAGTGTGTGGTTGTCTCTGCTTGACAGAAGTGGATCGTTTAATCTACTTCTGCAAAAGAGACATTTCCTCAATCATTGGCTGCAGCCAATTAGCTACAGCCACTGTACAGTGTATTGTGAAAGTGGTCGGATGCAGCTGAATGCAACACTTAAGTGTATAGAGCAATCTGTTGTTGTTTTTTGTTCAGTTTGCTGGTCAGCTTTAGTTTTCTTTTTTTTTCTGTTGATCCAGCTGTCAACTTTTTTAACCGCCTCCCGCCCGCCATATAAGGAAATGACGGGCGCAAGGCGGTTCTCTCGTTCTGGGTGGACGTCATATGATGTCCTCCCACTCTAACCATGCATGCGCAGCTTCGGGGGCACGCAGCACGGCGATCGCTGGTGTGCTGTGTCCCCCGGACACAGCGGATCACCGATCAATGGAAAGAACCGAAGATGTCGGCTCGGTCATATGATCAGCTGTGTCCAATCACAGCTAATCGCATGTAAATAGGGAAATGCCAGTTGTCGGCATTTCTCTCCTAATGAGCTGTCACGCTGACAACTCGTGAGGAGTGGAGAGATGGTAATCGGCATCCCTCAGAGGGGACATGTACACTGATCATCAGAGCACTGATGATCACTGTGCCCTGATGATCAGTGTAGCCCCAGCAGTGCCACCTGTCAGTGTCCATCAATGCCAGCTGTCAGTGCTCATCAATGCCACCTGCCAGTGCCCATCAGTGCCACATCAATGCCACACATCAGTGCCTACCAGTGCACATCAATGCCACATATCAGTGCGCATCTGAGTTGGCTTTCAGTGTCACCTATCAGTGCCAGTCAGTGCCACCTATCAATGCCAGTCAGTGCCACCTATCAGTGCTGCCAATCAGTGCCACCTATCAGTGCCACCTAACAGTGCTGCCTATCAGGGCCACCTAACAGTGCCAGTCATTGCTGCCTATCAGTGCCAGTCAGTGATGCCTGTCAGTGCCCATCAGTTCAGCCTCATCAGCACACATCAGTGAAGCAGACAAATCACTTATTTACAAAATTTTATAACAAAAACTAAGAAAAAAAACTTTTTTTTTTTCAACATTTTCAGTTGTTTTTGGTTTGTTTCGCAAAAAAAAAAAAAAAAACCCAGAGGTGATTAAATACCACAAAAAGAAAGCTCTATCTGTCTCAAAAAAATGATAAAAATTTCATATGGGTACAGTATTGCATGACCACGCAATTGTCATTCAAAGTGTGACAGCGCTGAAAGCTGCAAATTGGCCTGGGCAGGAAGGGGTTACAAGTGCCCTGTAGGCAAGTGGTTAAGGAACTATGATGTGCAGCAAAAGTGGAAGTTAGAGGTTTGAGCCAAACCATTTAGGACGCACAGGGGTGCTTAAAATTGTCAGCTTTTATTGATTTGGATAAAAACTTTATTAAAAAAGGAGAAAAAAAACTGTTTCTGTAACAGCTTATCAAGCATGAGTTGTCATTAGAATTTAATTTGTCTCTTATGAAAAGTCCATCTAAATTTACAAGTCCTTCTAACAATGCTGCTGTCCAAGGGTGACTTTGTTGCTCCTTCATATATAGAGCAGCCTCCCTAAGTCTGGAAGTGTGTTACTGGCTGGATCACCAGATGTTAATAAAGGAAACAAAAAGCTTAAAAAACAAAACAAATGCCGCTCCACATTTAAGGATAAGCTGCAACATTTTGCTTTGGGTCTAATGTCACTTTAAGAGTAAATCAAGCAGCACAGCTGAAGCAAGGCAAGACACTGAGAAACTACAAGACATTCTAGAGCTCAGAAGAACAAAATTCAGTACATCTGTTTCTGCAAGTTCATAAGTGATGTAATGTAGACTCCAAAGAGTCCAATGTGTGGCATATAGGAGCTACCATTGCTGACTTTAGTTCAAGGTATTAAAGGTATTTAAAGGTGCATCATTTCCTTCATACATAACTTGGCAAGTCAAGAAAGAAGCAGATTTAATTCAATAGTCAACCAATTCACTATTGATTTGGTTGACTATTGATCAGATGACCAGCAGAGAAGGGAGCACTGAAGCAACATTTTCTTCAGTAAAGGTGTTTTAGCTCTACTGTTATTTATCTATTCAGCCCAGGAGGAATTTATACACATGCTGCAAACGAAGGTTCTATCCAAGAGCAGATAGCAAAACACAACTGCTATTACAGTGCTCAGCATACATGAGTACACCCCAACAGATTTGTCAGAAAACCTTTTCTTTCCTTTCAGAATCAACATTTTCTATGGAACACTATACTATAAAATACTCCCACAAATGCGAGCAATTGATTGCAAACAACATTTGTTAATTTGCACATTCAAAAAAGTATTTTTCCTAACAAATTCATTCAAGACCATGTTGCAAAAATGAATTCACCCCAATAAAAGTCTTAGGAGCAAAGCTAAATTTTAGACAGCAAAATCCTAATTACCAAGACTTCAACTACAGATGAGTGCAATTATTCATTAAACAGGTGTCCAGCAGACAGTTGATTACTTAACAAAGAAAACCCCTTCCCATTTCATGCTGTCAGCAAGGGCACTACATGGAAGAGAAATGTCACAAGGCCTGAGAACAGGCCTTACACAAGAAAGGTGAAGGCTACAAGAAGACCAGCAAAGCTTTACTTATCAGTCAATATACTGTAGCAGAAGTGATACAAAAATGTAGCAAAGATGGAACTGCAACCATCTCACAGAGACATCCAGGCCGTCCAAAGAAGTTAACACCTCCACATGATCATCTTCTGATGAGAAGGGTTGAAGAAAATTGCCATGCAAGTTCACTGCAGTTAGCTAAAGAAGTAGAAAGCCAAACTGGGGTGATTGTTTCCCAAGACACAATACGGCATACACTGCAGAGGAATGGCATGCATGGGTGTCATCCATGAAGGAAGTTTCTCCTAAACCCCATGCACAAAAAAGCCCTCCTAGAACTTGCCAGGGCCCATGCTAAAAAAGAAGACTACTGGAACTCTGTACTCTGGAGTGACAAGACCAAGATAAATGTTTTTGGAACTGATGGCTTCAAAACTGTATGGCATTGCAAAGGTGAGGAGTACAAAGAAAAATGCATGATACCTTCAGTGAAACATAGTGGTGGTAGTGTCCTTCTGTGGAGCTGCATGAGTGCTGCTGGTGTTGGGGAGCTGCATTTCATTGATGGTATCGTGAACTCACAGATGTACTGCTCTATATTGAGAAGATGCCACCATCACTCCATGCCCTTGGTCATCAAATACTTTTCCAACATGACAATAATCCAAAACACACATCACAAAGCCACTGTTGTATTTCTGAAGAAGAACAGGGTGAAAGTGATTCAGTGGCCAAGTATGTCTCCTGATCTGAACCCAATTGAACACCTTTGGGGAATTCTGAAGAGACAAGTTGAGCATCACTCTCCATTCAGCATCCAGGCTCTAAAAGAGGTGGTTCTTGAAGAAAGTAAAAAGATAAATGCAATATGTCGCCAACCTGTTCATTCCATGCATAGAAGACTTGGTGCTGTCCTTACAAACAATGGAGGTCATACAAAATACTAGAAGTAGTAGTTTTTGTTGTGGGGTGTATTCATTATTGCATCAACTAATTTGAGTAAAACCGAAGATTTTGTATTCTAAGTTATTTTACTTTCATGCAATGAGCTAAACAAATGTTCTATAAAACTCAGTTTTGTCAAAATTTTGGAAATTGTTCTTGTGTTCATTGAGATATTGATTAAAATCTTATCTTATCTTTTCGAAAGGGGTGTACTTATTTATGCTGAGTACTGTACTTCAATTAGCCAGAAAAGCTGCTTTTTGTATCCCTATCTGATTTTCCTTCAGGGGCGGTAATTACTGGAACCTAACCATGATGTCAGGCCCCAGTAGGAAAGTAAACTACACGTGAGAGCGGATTTTCTAACTTAAAAGAGTAGAAACAAGCACCATAGTGTCTGCTCTTAGATATGACATTTACTTTAAATAGATTACAGTGGAATATAGGTTTGTTTAATTTTTCATGTAAAGAGTAACTGTACTTTAATTGAGAAGAAATAATTCCCCTCTGGATGATAAATAAATATTGTATTGAGTTTAACAAAAAATGTTGAAGAATTCTTACTTTTTCTGCTCAGAAGAAAAAAGGTGTTTGTTCCATTATGTCCTTTGGATGCTGATTCTGAATGGGAATGACTGGATTGTTGTAATCAGCTGGTGCACTTTTCATGTTCTGATGAGAAAAGCTGCAGGGTCTGTATCCCTTTATAAGTATTTACCCCTTTACAGTATCTGACCAAAGCTAACATTTGCATTGCAGAGGATGCCTAAAATCTGAATTGTGCTTCTTTAGTGCTGGCATGTGGAAAACTCAGTGAGCCAATCACACAAGCAGGAAATGACAATGAAACAACTACAGGTTGCCATACTGCATTTAATTTTTTACAATTCTGCAGATTGAAAGTGAAAAGGTATTTTTTAATAACATTCAATTACAATATGGCTTGTGCAGTAATTGTATAAGCTACATTATTTTTTTCATAGCAGAGTTACCTTTAGCCGCTTCAATACCAGGCACATTCACCCCCTTCTTGCCCAGGCCAATTTTCAGCTTTCAGAGCTGTCAGACTTTGAATGTCAATTACTCAGGTGTGCGACACTGTACCAAAATTTTTAGCATTTTTTGAGACAGATAGAGCTTTTTTTTTGGTGGTATTTAATGACCACTGGGTTTTTTTTTTTTTGGGATTTCTTTGGTATATAAACAAAAAAAATACTGAAAATTTTTGAAAAAAAAAAATTTTTTTCTTGGCTTCTGTTATAAAATGTTTAAATTAAATAATCTTTCATCATAAATTTAGGCCAAAATGTATTCTGTTACATTTCTTTGGTAAAAATAACCCAAATCAGTGTATATTGTTTAGTCTGTGTGAAAGTTATAGAGTCTACAAACTATGGTGTATATATTTGAAAATTGATTAGTCCTGATGTACTGACAGCCCTAAAATGTCAGTCCAAATACGCACCAAATGGCACCTTTTGTAAGTTGTAATTTTTTCATTGATCACCAATTGAAGTCAATCAAATGATCAGTGTATTGTGACAATACATAGTCCTGCTGTCAGAATACAATGTCCTCATTTGTATGGAAGTGGGAATCCACTGGAATCACTGTCTTGTTTACTTACTGGTGGGAGAGAAGCGACTGTCTTTCAGGGAGAGTATCTTGATGGGATCGGTCATGTTCAGCGGGTGGCGGATTTTTTTTTTTCATGAGGGTTGGCATTCCTCATGATTGACACTGGGTTTTTTTTCAACAAATGACTTGTCAAAAACTGTCTTTGTGTTTTTATTCACTTCTGACTTTTTTTGGTGAATGAACCAAATACTCATTCACATGGGGGGACAGGGCTTTAGGACAGGGACTCCCAGATTCTGATAAGTCACCCCCCCGCACACCCACAACCATTTGGCCAGGCCCTTGTCCTCATCAACATGGAATGTTCGATATGGATTTTGAGGGGGGTTCATGCCATTTTTATTTTGGAGAGGGATTCCACATAAAATCCATACCAGACCCAAAGAGCCTGGTATGGGTTGGGGGGGGGACCCCCACGCTGTTTGTAATTTTAAATGTAATGCCGACACTTGTTTTATTTACATTCTGCTGTCAGTGGGAATTCCGCTGAAAGCAGATGAGTCATTGGACAATTAAGGGCGCAGCAGTCACCTTCTCCTTAAAAGCCAACTATTCATGAATCAGTTCGGATCATTTGTTATTTTGGATGCTTCACACATCCAAATGAAAGAAATTAATTTCATTGTTTTGTTATCATTTATATCAGATTAGTTGAAAGTCGTTGCTATTGTGATTTGGATATTCTGATACAACCGAATCTCTGAATAATGAAAATTTTGTCTGAAGTTCGATTTGTAACTAAATGAGTTGTGCCATTATAATGTAACCCTAGGTTTAGAATCT